CATCCAGTATCCCTTAGCAATCCTCCTATTGACTATCCAGTATCCCTTAGCAATCCTTCTATTGACTATCCAGTATCCTTTAGCAATCCTGCTATTAACTATCCAGTAATACCTGAAATATCTCCTAGTAATCCTATAATTAGCGAATAATTGTAACGAAAAAACGATATTTTACCCGATTTTTTTTCATTATTTCTAAAATTGTTTTCAGTTATTAAAGAGCAAAAATTAAACTTACCAAAACACTTTGATGCTCGTTTACGATGGCCTCTCTGTTGGTCCGTTCATGTGGTAGCTAATCAAGGTGGATGTGGATCATGCTGGGTTAGTCTGTTATCAATATCATTGATAAGATAGAATTGATCCAATTAAGATGAATAACGATCATGCTGGGTTAGTCTGTTATCAATATCATTGATAAGATAGAATTGATTAGATAAAAAAAAATTCGAAAGTTACAAATCATTTAAGAAATCAAAAATCAAATCCAATTTAGTTCAGCCCTAGTAAATCAATAAATTTCCTCAAGTTTTTTGTTAATTAATTAATTGACTGTTAAATTTTTAAATTCAAATATAACAATTCATGCTACCAGACTGACAAGATTTAAAATTTTTTAAATTTAATTCAGATATTAACTGTTTAAATGTTCCTTCGTTTTTTTTTCTTCCTTTTTTTTTTTTTTAAGGCTATATCAGCAGCATCTGTAATGTCTGATCGTTTATGTATAGCAACAAATTACAGTAATCAAAAGCAAATCTCTGCAGAAGATCTGATATCTTGTTGTACCGAATGTGGCGGGTTTGTATATTAATTTAGCTTATTTTTAATTCTAATCATAACTTATATACAATAATTAGTGCTAATTAAAAGATCAGATTTAATTAAGATTATATATCTTACATATGGAAATAGCTTATTAGCATATTTGATTTATAAATCTTTAGATTATATGATTATAAATAATTTGTTAATTGTATATTATTTTCAAATTTTAAAAATTAGCAAACATTTTTTGAAATTTTTTGAATTTTATAAAATTTATTAATTAAAAAAATTTCTTCCTATCCGTTTAACTAAATAAGTAATATTTTTAAAAGATGCCAAGGATCACATTGGGCATTATCAGCATTTATCTATTGGCGAAATCATGGCGTTGTAACAGGTATTCTTATTGTTATTATCTTTAAGTAAAGATTTATAATGGTCATTTTATCATAGCCAATTGGTCATTTATTAAATATCACTTAATCTGTTTGTTATTATTTTTAAATAAAGATGTATAATTCAAAAAGTAAAAAATCTATAATTGAAATTACAGGTGGCGATTATGGTAGTTTTGAAGGTTGTAAACCATATACTACTGCACCAAATTGTGGTAGTCCATGCTCTTTTGAATACTATCGGAGGAAAATATCACCAGCCTGTCAAAAAACTTGTCAACCACTTTACGGTCTCAGCTATGAAGAGGATCTTATTAGCAGTATGTTTTTCTTTATATTATTATCAATATTATTATTATTCTTGTTCTTATCAATATTTTAGAACTATGGAAAAAAAATTGAAGTATTATATTATTATGTTAGCTATTTTTACTTTTGATTAGGTCAAAAGGCTTATTGGATTCGAGCACAAAAAGGTAACAGTGAAATTATGCCATCTGTACAACAAACTGTTGAGGAAGTTACTGGAAATGGTGTGTTTGTTAGTTTTTAATCTTATTATCACAATGTTTATCAAAAAAGAAAAACAGAAACAAAAAAGCAATACTGTTTAACAAGTGATATTAAATAATTAATACAAATTCTTACCTATTAATTATTTGATATTTCTTTGTATATTTTTCATTATTATCATTATTATTATTATTATTATTATTATTATTATTATTATTATTATTATTATTATTATTATTATTACTATTGTTATTATTAGTATTATCATTATTATTATTATTATTATTATT